TGTGTGTGTGTGTGTCTGTCTGTCTGTCTGTCTGTCTGTGTGCATGGCGAAATAAACACCATGTTCCCCTAACCAAAATTTCTTTCTCTGTTTCTCATTCTATTGCATCTTGTTTCCCCACCCAGTTCCCAAAGCCTGAAGTTTAAACTGAACCTGTCTGCCTTCCACACATCACACTCACAGATACTGGGAATCCCTGCTTGGTCAACATCTGTAACATATCTCAGATCTATTGACTTTACCTTCCACACAGCCTCCTCATTTGTTTTGTATTCCTTTCCCTTTTTTTTTTTTTTAAAGATTTTATTTATTTATTATGTATACAACATTCTGCTTCCATGTATATCTGCACACCAGAAGAGGGCATCAGATCTCATAACGAATGGTTGTGAGCCACCATGTGGTTGCTGGGAATTGAACTCAGGACCTCTGGAAGATGTTAAGAGCACCGACATCTGAGCCATCTCTCCAGCCCCCTGATAACTCTTTCTTATCTGCATCTTCACTAATATAACAATTCAGATTTGCCTTTGGCTTTGAAGTTTTCTAACTTCTATTTCTACATCCATTCTGTGATTTCACTCCATAGAAATGTTTACTAGTTATTTTTTTAAGGTAGTTCTCAATGTCAAGTCCAATTGCACAACCTTTCCAGATAGGGCCCTACAGTTAAAGCTGAGTCATTAAAAGATATGTTGAAAAATGTGTGTAACTACAAGGTTGTAGGCAGGGAGGGAGTTTAGAGGAACCCTGTGGTGCTTCCTAGGATAGTGGATAGCAGAAGGCTGTGACTCCAGTGGATGACTTTGGTCTCTTAAGGGAGCATGGAGCAACTCTGGACAAGGTGCTGCTGATGAGGTGAATGAAAGGAAATTGATTTTTATGTGCTACTATGAGGTAAGTGCAGTTTCTGAGTTGTGGGTCTTCCATATCAGCTACAGACAGTGCAGTAGTTTGGGGTAAGCAGTTTTGAGCAGGGCTTCTGCCATCTAAGAAGCCATGGTGGCATTTGCATCTGTAGAGCCTTGTGAGCATCAGATATGTCAATTGCTTTGCAACCTGCTTCTCCTCTTGTTTCTTTTCTAACCTGTTTATCAGGCAGGCTGCTTTGTTCTACATCAGTCTGAGTTGATTCCAGAATTTTAGACCTAGGCAGGATGTTATTCTTCATGTTTGGGAGCTCCATTCTCATTTCTTAGGGATTTATGGTAAGCGTTGGTGTCTTTTCTAGAATAAGAGGAATCTGGATATTTCATGAGTTTGTGTGTTGAGTACTTAGAATGATTGTGTTCCCTTTGCTCACTCCTGTTAAACTCATGGGATTGCTTTAAGTATCTATGTCTCAATGATCTCATCATGTGTGACTTTTATCAAGGTAGGCTTGTTGCCATATTTGTGTCCACGTGCTCTCAGGACATTAAAAATGTCATTTATTGCCTTTTAGCTAATTCATCTGACAAAGGTGTGATCTCCCATACTGATTCATTCCAGAAATCACAATACTATCCTAAATATCTGGACTTAATGAAATAGGCTCTAGACACTAATAACGAACTCATCAACATTCATTGACAATTTAGAATAAAAATTAGGTGTTTAATCAGAGATTAGAATCTGTCAAAATCTATGCTATCAATTTACCCTAAGTCACTATGGAAAATAGTAACTTTTTTGGTTGTTTAATGCTTGCTTTCTTGGGGATTCCTTTTTGTCAAGTCCTCTTTTCCCTTTTCCAAACTTTAAATCATATTTGAGATCAACTTCTGAGACTTCTAATAAGTGATTCCATACAACTGAAGTGGACCGTTAGAGGAGGCAGAGGAGACTCATCTCCCACACTGATTTAAAAGACAGGATAGACTTGTATTTAGATAGATGAATGATACCATGGTGAGTTTAAACCCCAAGAGCCTTTGGGAGGTTGTATCCACCGATCCTGATTTTTCTAAAAATAAGCAAGCAAGCAAACAAACAAACCAAACCAAACCATAAAGAGATTGTTGCCCTTTGCTATTTAGCACTGGGGTAAACTTATGATGAGCTGTTTTGGGATGTACTAGTTCACAGCCTAAATCCTTCACAGCAGGAATTCCCAAGAAGGTAATGATAACTGTTACACTTCGTGGTTTGTACTTTTCTATATTTACCAGGCATACAATGACTATAGTTGAGATAAGTATGTATGTGATATAATCGAGAAACTTTAAGGATGGATATGGAAGGAAAACCTTCAAATTAGGAGCTATAATGTTATTGTAAGAGAAAATATGTGCCAGTATTTGAAAAGTGGAAATGCATCAAAAGCGAGAAGGAGAAACTATACAAATACTGGTTATACTGTTGAAGTTACAATGCTGGCAAACATGGATGCTAGAAACAAGGGTTTTTGTTTGTTTTCTTTTGTCTTGTAATTTTTGTGACAGAGTCCCCCTAGGTAAACCAGAATATTCTTGAACAACAATTACCTCATCTCAGACTCTCTTACAGGAGTGTATCATGATTGTCGCCAGGGTTTGACAGACATGTGAAATCTTTTCTTTCTTATTGATTCATTTTTAAATGCATCTCATACAAGCCAGAGCTCTGCCATATACTCCTGTCTGAGGATGGATAGTCATGCCTCAGCATTTCTGTTCCATTTCTCTATCTCCAGGAGCTAGTCTCCTTTGATCTTTCTGAAGCCAGGGACCAGCCTTATTTGGGACAGAAGGAAATTGGAGGTCCTGGGGTTCACAGAACCTCTCAACTGCTCCCTGGCTTAGAAGAAGAGAGAAAGAGAGAGACAGACAGAGAGAGACAGACAGACAGACAGAGAGAGAGAGAGAGAGAGAGAGAGAGAGAGAGAGAGAGAGAGAGAGAGACTTCTGCTGTAATGACACTCTGCATGGCACAGCTGAGAGGATCAAAGATCTTACCTCCATGGACTCACTAGGACCTCTGTGGTGCAGACAGGCTCTGGAGCAGCTCTGGGAAGGTGACACTTGCAGGTCATATTTGTACTGTCAGGATTTATGGGGCTCTTGGCTGCCATCAGATATTGCAGACTTCAAGTTTCATGTTGTCACAGTGTCAGGGGGAAGGGAGGCCTCTGCAGAGCCTCAGTCCCTGAATTACAGCTTTCCGCTCTCTCCACAATTACTACATCTGTTTTGCTCAGAAGTTATTTCAAGCTAATTATGGTTTAATTATTTTGAAAGAAAGGACGTGGAAGTGAGAAAATGAACAACTAACTAAGTTTCTTGTATGGAGCTTCCTGCATCTCCTGACTGGTTTTCATCTTCCCGAAGTGCCAAGCTGTGACCTGCCAGGGGACCGACTTCTGACACACAGCCAAGTCACTTGTTTCTCTTTTCTTAAATCTCTTGCTAGATTGGAGTAGAATAAATAAATGATGTTCAGCACTGGGGGTTCTATTTCCCTGAGCAAGTTCCAAACATGGACCAGAACAAGTTTAGAGTCCCTTTATCTACATGTGCCTGCTGGTAGTGAAGGTCTTTGCTGTGACTGATTCCTTCATTCCTGCATATTAAATATCTTGTGGGACTTGAAATGTGAATGCCTCCCAACATTGGCCATATTCCAAAAGCAATCTTTACTTATTATAAAACTTATTGAGGACACTTTTTAAACTTATCTGTGTCCAAGTGTGATCTTTCTGTGTAATTTTCATTCTAGTTCCTAGGAGGCCCTTCTTATCCTGGATGCAAAGCGATGTGAATAAATGTGCAGGGCTGAGATTATATGTGGTGACATCATCATTTTGTTCATGAATAAAAAGCACCACTTGGCTGCCTTGAGAGATGAATTCAAGATCATGGCTCTTACTGTGTGCTTTGCATGATGGTGTCTCCATATATATAGGTGCAACTGGCACATAATAGAAGCTAAACATACTTCTCTATAAATGAAATGACAGCCTTTGAGGAAGGCTGTATTCCATCCTCTCTATTGAAAGGGGAACCGAGGAACAGGGAAACTAAGTTATATATTACATATTTCAGGGCAGATAGAAATTGAAAAATAAAATGATTTTTCTCTAGCTCAACAAAAAACCACTTCCCTCTGATGTCCTCCCCCGACCCCAGCCCTGAAACAGGGTTTCTCTGTGTAGAACTTGCTGTCTTGGAACTCTCTCTGTAGACCAGACATCCAACTGCTTCTGCCTCTTTAATCCCAGCACTGGTGGGATTAAAGGCATGCACCACCTCCACACAGCTCTCTGAAGTCTTTGCTATGCTGTTTAGAAAACTTCTAAATTTCTTCTTTGTCTTTGAAATATAAACAAAATGTAGCTTAAAGTTTGTAGTGGTCTGACTTGTTTACTCAACCAAAGATAAAATATCAGGAAGAGAGCCCTTCAGGCAATTTCCATCTGGTAGGAATTCTGTAGAGAAAATGGGTCACTCACAGTCAGAGGACATGCTGTGGTCACTGGTGTCCTCCATTTTGTCCAAAATCTGATCTCAGAGGATATTCCCCTTACAGGGTGGCACTGAAGATTAATAAATCATGGATGGGGAGATTGCTCAGTGGGTAAAGTGCTTTGCTTCCAAGTGTGAGTGCCACCTCATTTAACTGCCTGGTGGGGTGGCAGCTTGCCTGTAATTCCAGTCAGAAGCCAGGGACAGGCTATCTCTAGAGGAACTGGGTACTGAGATTAGTCATTTGCTGTGCTCGTACCTGACTCAGTCAAGTGGATGATCCCTTTTTTTAATTTTTTTTTTATTTTTTAAATTCAAATTAGAAACG